GTGTTATTTTTGAGCTTGTATCTTGAAAACTTCATCTTTTATTATGGTATTTCCATTCCTGGTCTGATTGTGAACTAATTCCCGAACATCAGCGTGTGACAGGCGCGTGCGACTGGGCGAGTAAAAACCCGATAAGCGCTTGAATACAAGGCCGAGTATTTTACTTCTTTGACTGGTGGCGAATTCCGAAGAGTTCAAGAAATATTCAAGTTTTTCTCGATACGAAATACAGAATGTTTGACCAAGTGGTGAGTAAAATATACGATTGTTTGCTTTGTGTATTAAATGTTAAAAAATATTACTTTTGACCATCCACAAACATGCAAGCACTAGTCAATGAGGTCAATCAATCATGCATTAAATAATGATTTAATTTTCAAAAAGACGTTTCTTGTTTAGCTTAAAAATCACCTTTTGTTTCGATATTTACACTTTGTTCCACTTTGTCCCACTTTGCGATGCAAATCGTGCAGAGGCTTCGCGCCAGAGGCTTCGCGCCTTCCTTCGCCTTTCCCTTTGCCGCTTGCGCTCCTTCGCCCAGCGGTTACGCTCGTGTTCCAAGATCCGCCATGTAAAGTGTAGTGAAATGTATCTCATCGAAATATTAAATCCTAAGAAAACTAAAGCCTCTGCGGAGGAGAGAGTCTCACTTCCATAGAGACAATGGGCAGCAATTGCAACAACACTTACAGTAATATGATTATTACCAATTCGATTTAAATTCCCAGTGGCCTAAAATCTTTTATGCTTAATAATTGCAAAGTGGATTTCTTAGGAAATTCCGAGGTTTCTTTTTTTATACACCCTGTATATGCATGTACAAGGTGAACACATACAGGTAGCTCAAATGTAATTAAATGTATGCAAATTCTGTGGTAGATTTTTAACTAGAATAAAGATTTTTGGCATGCTTCTCCCCATATCATGCAAGCATATTTTCGCTGCAAGTAATTTCCTTTGAATGCATTCACGAGAGTAAATCCAGGTGAAGCGAAGATGGAGTTGATAATGTGTTGTAGTTTAACGGACACGCGTATATGACCGGCAACTCTAATTGTCGACTCTCATACTCGCGAAAGTATACTATAATTGAGATTATTTGGGTGACCGGTTTACTAGGTCCACACAACAACTAGGCGGGTCCGGGGACATGCTCTCCCGGGAAATTTTTAAAATTTGAGCCTCTGAAACAGTATTTTCTGCATGCGTTCTGGCGTCACTTTTTAAATGAATTTAATGATTAGAAAATACATCTTTTTAAGAGAATTATATATGGACTAATACGCAGCTCAAACAATGAATTGAACCTTTTCGGAAACCTATTAGCTAGTGCTAAAAATATAGGATTGGCAACTGAATTGCTGACGCATCGATATTTATTGTAAGTACAACAGGTAGAGATGCTTTTATTAATATAAACATAGTTGTAATTTTAGATCTATACGCTTTCAAACCAACTTTAAATTAACAATGAACTAGAAACCAAACTGCAAGAGCGTGAAAGCTTCACAGTCATTTCCTTGTCGACTCTCATACTCGCGAAAGTATACTAGTTGAGATTATTTGAGTGACCGGTTTACTAGGTCCACACAACAACTAGGGGGTCCGGGGACATGCTCCCCCGGGACATTTTTAAAATTTGAGCCTCTGAAACAGTATTTCCTGCGTTCTGGCGTCACTTTTTAAATGAATTTAATGATTAGAAAATACATCTTTTTAAGAGAATTATATATGGACTAATACGCAGCTCAAACAATGAATTGAACCTTTTCGGAAACCTATTAGCTAGTGCTAAAAATATAGGATTGGCAACTGAATTGCTGACGCATCGATATTTATTGTAAGTACAACAGGTAGAGATGCTTTTATTAATATAAACATAGTTGTAATTTTAGATCTATACGCTTTCAAACCAACTTTAAATTAACAATGAACTAGAAACCAAACTGCAAGAGCGTGAAAGCTTCACAGTCATTTCCTTGTCGACTCTCATACTCGCGAAAGTATACTAGTTGAGATTATTTGAGTGACCGGTTTACTAGGTCCACACAACAACTAGGGGGTCCGGGGACATGCTCCCCCGGGACATTTTTAAAATTTGAGCCTCTGAAACAGTATTTCCTGCGTTCTGGCGTCACTTTTTAAATGAATTTAATGATTAGAAAATACATCTTTTTAAGAGAATTATATATGGACTAATACGCAGCTCAAACAATGAATTGAACCTTTTCGGAAACCTATTAGCTAGTGCTAAAAATATAGAATTGGCAACTGAATTGCTGACGCATCGATATTTATTATAAGTACAACAAGAAGAGATGCTTTTATTAATATAAACATAGCTGTAATTTTAGATCTATGCGCTTTCAAACCAACTTTAACAACGAACTAGAAACCAGGAGCGTGAAAGCTTCAAAGTCATTTCCTGATTCTCTCTCGCCAGCGCAATGATTCGGCCACGCAAGATTATACACATATTTCGCGCTATCATGAGTGTAAACTGTGTAGTTACACGTATATAAACATCGATACACTTGATGACGGATCGATATTTACTATACAGTAAGTATAGAAATAGCTTACAGTCTGCATAACTTTAGACTATATACTTTTAAACAAACCTTCAAAATGAACAAGAAGTCCATGTAAATGCTTCTATCGCCAACGTAATGATTCAGTCACGCAAAATTATAAACATATTTCCCGCGTCCTCGAGTTGTTAACTTTCATGCCCAGTTTTTTCTAAATACTGCTCGACCCATAGGTTTATGACCGGTTCACATCCGGCGGAGCGCAGCCGTATAGCCAATCGAATGGCGTATCGACCGGTTTACTCCCATGGAGAAAACTCTGACCACCGGTTTACTCCTAATTGCGGGCGGTTATATCGTTTACAAGTCCACGACCCACGACGATATACTAGCAGATTATTAGCGTAGCATTACAACATTATTAGTGTAACATTAGATTATTAGTGTAACATTACAAGGGGAAACCAACGCGATAAGTCCTTGATTATACGCTTGGCGAATCCATAATCAAATTTCAATAATCGTATTTAAGTGGCGTAATAGATTAGACAACATCAATTTTATGAAACAGAATATACTTTAAATTAGTTATATACATGGAAGGTTATAGATTTTCTCTCTTTGGAAAATCTGACAGGTTTATATAAACCTGTCAAACCTGTCTGAATCCGCCCCTGAGCTATAATAACTCCCTAACTCTCATTTTCGCCGTTAGAACAGGGCCGCTTTATTTACTAATGATGGTAATGCAAATCAATTCGACTGTTTGTACGACATACCGGATTACTTTTCATATAACTTCCATTTATGTGCAAATCGTCGAAAATGGAGGGAGCTTGCTTAAAGGATATTCGCATTTCTTTGCATTTTATTGGTTGGATTTGGAATTTATTCTGAATTGACCAATTTGATATTTCGTCAACAATAACCTGCTTTACCCTTGTTTATCCACAATTTCGAAAGATGCTGTATCATCGACGAAGATTGCATTTCCGTCTGATGATTCAATTTTTAGATCATTAATCATCACTAAGGATAACCAAGGTCCTAATTTGGAGCCTTGAGGAACGCCCGTTGATACCTCTTCCCAACTTGAGAAGATATCATTCTCCAATTTAACTCTTTGCTTGCGGTCACTTAAAAAGTCGTGAATCCAATTTAAAATATAGGGATTTATTCCATAGCTTTCCAATTTACACATCAGCAAATTGTGATCTGTTAGATCGAACGCTTTTTTGTAATCCATCAATATTACTCTCACTTCTGAACCCGTAACGTCAGTAGCTAGTAGTAGGTATATTAGGGCATGTTTGGTGGATGAAAAGGGAACACTACCGTATTGGTCTGGTCTTATATGTTTCAAAACGGCAGGTTTTACATGTTCTTGTACAACATACTCTTCAGCAATTTTTGATAACGCAGGCGTAAGAGAAATCGACAGTAGATCTTTATTAAATTCTTCGATAGTCTTATTTTTTGGTAAAGGGATAACATTGGCCTTTTCCAAATAGTATAGGTAGAACTTGTTTTTAGAAGGACGAATTAATTCGATAACATACTGGTTCAGCAAGAAGATGGCTAATTGATTTTAAAAACCAGTTGGGGATCTCATCTGGACCGGGTG